GACACACACACCGTAGAGATGGAATATAACACTAAGATAAGAAAAACATTATGTAACACTATATATAGAGAGAGAGAAACGTGTGATTGTTTAAATGAATGTCCAGATATGTTATTTACAGAACAAGTAGCTGGTGTAGATGTCTGGCCTCTCCTCTTCAAACCAATCCCTGCTTACCTTCAACACAAATATGCTGTACGTTTCCAAACAGGTGCTTCACAACCACATGATGCTGAAGGCATCCAGACCGAACGGGCAAACCAGCTCTGCAGAAACACACTCAGATCCTGTTACAGAGAAGAAACGAGAGTGTTTCTGCTGTCTGAGAGGCTGATGGATCGAGTCCTGATGCCATGGCTTTCACACATGAGCACGTGTAGACCTGCTCTGTTTCTGGCCAAGCTTTTATTCCAAGGTTTGTCCTCTTTTATTGGCTTTGATGCACAAGTGTGCACTTTAAACACAGCACTTTAAATCACACATTTGACATCTTCTCTAGTTTTAACGGCTCCATCCTTCAATAACAGCCTGTTAGTAAAGCTGAATGCATCTACTTCTGAAAACAGATCATTCAGCAACGTGCCGCTGCTTTCTAACGCTCTTGTATTTTCACGCTTCAGCACAAAGGCATGTATGAATGCTTTTTTGATATTTTAAATGAAAATTCTCAATGGACTTAAGCTGGTGATTTAACATTTTTTGTATCAATCAATCACAATTGATTACGGCGTGCCTAATCAATCTATTGCACTCGTTCTCACATGTTTGAGCAGTTCACTACCTCAACAAAGACTGCTGATCAAACTCTTGCATCTGTATATTTATATGTAATTGAAATGGAAAAAAAAGCAACCGTGTAAATTCTTCGTTTGAATAAAAAATAGGCCAAAGTTAAAACTAGATTGTGAACACTGCATTAAATGTATTTGTTTACCTGTGTGACTATTTTTGTCTCTAAAAGTAAAATCAGATGCTGAAATGACTAAATACCCAGCCGTTATTATGCAATCATTCTAAATGAATATGAATCAAACACACCGCTACAAAATATAACTGTAGATACTCTAAGGGTAACTTTGCTAAGATTTCACTCAGAAATAAAATTAGGAATATTTATTTATTTAGTCATTTATTAGACGCTTTTATGAAGTTATATAAGAATATAAATACCATTTACAAATATTTGGTCGCACCACCTGACATTTTATTGTTTTTTTGGTGGTAAAGTAATTTAAACACTTTGAAATGTTGTTTAACAAATGTAACTTGTTTAAACACATTGTTCCCAACTCAAAAATATGCATAACGTTCATTTGGAAAGATTTCCACAAACAAACATCTTTTAGAAGCTTTATTTGTCATTGGTCTTATAGTACATAAATATAGTTATTTCAGACTTTTACTTCACTTTTTAAACCAAAACATATGTGAGCCTGCAGCACAAAAGCAGTGTTGAGTCGCTGGGGGATATTTGTAGCAATAGCCAACAATACATTGTATGGGTCACAATTATACATTTTTCTGTTATGCCAAAAATCATTAGGATATTAAGTAAAGATCATGTTCCATGAAGATATTTAGTAAATTTCCTACTGTTAATATATCAAAACTTAATGTTTGATTAGTAATATGCATTGCTAAGAACTTCATTTGAACAACTTTAAAGATGATTTTCTCAATATTTAGATTTTTTTGCACCCTCAGATTCCAGATTTATTAATATTGTCCTATCCTAACAAACCATACATCAATGGAAAGCTTATTTATTCAGCTTTCAGATTAAAAAAATTGACTCTTATAACTGGTTTTGTGTTCCGGGCTCACATATTGCTGGTTCATGCTGCATTAACTAATGTTAACATATGAGATCCTATTGTAAAGTGTTACCACTTATTTAAAAGGTCATTGTTTTTCTTCTTAATATTTTAAGCCTAAAACATCACTTGTGGTGAAAATTATGTCATGACTGTTTATGAAAAATAAACAAATTGTCCTGTAATGTATCTACACATACTGAATTTTGAGAATTGTTAGTAGACTAATTAAACTAGTAAGAGTGGCAAAAGTGCCCATAGCTAAATAAAAAATACATAATTCAGATAGTAATCTTATTATTTATGGCCATTGGAGCCGTCACAAAGACCAACCTGAAAGTCCAGCAGAGCGCTAGTGCAGCAGTTAATACTATATATAACATCAGCTCACTCGTGTCTCGTGGAAGTGTAGGGCTGCTCCATAACGACATGTCTGGAGTCCAGTCCTCACTGTTGTTTGTAGATTGAAGGAGTCTATAATCTCACCATGCCTGCACGATAAAGGTGGTGGAAAGTATATGAAGCTCATAATATGAAGCTTTATTTGTAAAAACAAAAAAAAATGACGATACATAAATTGTAATCGTGTCTGCTTTGCCCGTGAAATGAGTCATAGCCCACAGCTCAGCAGGACATGCGTTTATGGCGTGAATGGAGCAAGACATCTCAGCAGTTCAGCTGTCTGTATGCTTTGCACAATATTAACAAACTGTACACTGAAGCAAAATCACCAGAACATTAACAATAACTGATAGAGCTCGTGGTTTATCTTGCAAGATGACGTCATGGTCTGTTCTGTCGTGCAACGCTCAGAAATGTGGACAAGCCAGTTCCAGCGTAATAACCTCCGAGTCGTTTCGAACTGGTTCTAATGACTTCTAATCACTTTTAGCGAGCACGAGGAGGCGACTGTGCTTCTCAAACAGAGGGATGCATGCTCAGATTCAGATGATCAGTACCGACTCGCTCTTTCAGTTTATTTTCCTGAATTTAGATGTGTGCAGCCTTCCATTTGAGAGACACCCATAGAAGAGCCCGGGGCCCCTGGAGGCCGAGTCCGCTACTGCCGCTGCTGCTGCTGTCACAGACACACCTGACCTACAGGACGACAGACAGACATCACACCTCTGCTGCTCTGTGCTCTTCTTCTTTCGCTTCAGCGGCGGGTGGCAAACATTACAGTGCATCTCCTCCACCTGCTGAGATGAGTGTGCAGCATCGATGAGGACTGTAATTAATATACAGTGCCTTGCGAAAGTATTCATACTTCATTTTTTTCACGCTTTGTTATGTTGCTGCCTTATGTTAAACAGCTTTAAATTACTTTTTTTCCACATAAATCTACACTCTATACACCAAATTGTTAAAGCAAAAAACTTTTAAAATCTTTGTAAAATTATTGAAAATAAAAAACGTAAATGATTCCATTGCATAAGTATTCATACCCTTATCTGGGACAGTTGAAATTCATATTGCTTGTAGATGTTACTACACTTCGGGTGAAGTTAACCTGTGGCAAATTCAATTGTTTACTTATTTCAGTTTTTTACATTTTTAATACATTTATGAAGTTGTGACAGTTCTGTTTTTGCTTTGTCAGTTTGGTGTATGGAGTGTAGATTGATGTGGGAAAAAGTAATTTAAAGAAGTTTAACATAAGGCAATAACAAAATGTGAAAAAATGTGTGAATACTTTCACAAGGCACTGTAGCTAAAAAATAAGAAAAGAAAATCTAAATTCTTTTAATTAAATTTGTGACCTTTACAAATTCTAATAATATCTTGAAAACTTGATACATTTCTTAAATTCTGAAACCACTTACACTTATTGACTTGATTTGACTTTCTAGTTTTTTTTTGTTTTTTTAAGTGAAAAAGCAATGAATGAAAAGTGAGTCAGTGTTCTGGTGTGAATCAGGAGAGAAATCTGCACAGATCAAGCACATGTTTAAACAGCTCTAAACACATATGTGGCTGGATTTTGATGCGAGAGACAACAGCAGATAGACTTTTTCACCGGAGGAAGAGTTATTATAGATTATGGACTCTTAAAATCGTCTTAATGCTGGATGTGTTTCAAGAAGTATCTCACACGAAAGGATCTTCATCATCACACTTGGCGAATAAAGCTCAATCTGATTCTCAAATCTAGATTTGACAATGCTCTGAAAAGCCTCTTGATAGATTATTATGGATTGTAAGCATACCTGTCTAAAGAGTACAAACATGACATTAATTGTCCTGCATGTTATGCTCTTAAAAATAAAGCTCCAAAGGCGGATTTGGACAGAGACCAATCAGTCTTTAAAAGAACCATTTTTTCTTACTGTGAACAACATTTTAGTCATCTGAGTGGTTCCTGGAGCCCTCAACACTGGACATTTTGCTTTAATCAAGCACTTGATTCAGGTGATCAGTTTAATTGTAGAGAATCCAAGAGCTGAACTGGGTGTTTGGTTAAGTAGACATGCATAATGTTAGTGGTTGGGAACCACTGATCTAAAGAACCTGTTGTCCAGTGAAAATGTTCCATGGATGTTAAAAGTTCTTCATGGAACCCTTTATTTTTAAAGGTATACTGTACTTCACTCTCAAATGAAAATTCTGTCATTACTCACTCTCATGTCGTTCCAAACCCGCAAGACCTTCGTTCATCTTCAGAACACAAATTAAGATATTTCTGATGAAATCCGAGGACATTGTTATAATAGTCCAGGTGATATCAGTGGTTCAACTGTAATTTTACGAAGGAGGAGAAGAACATTTTAATAAAGTTATTTTTGTTTTCTTTGTGCACAAGAAGTATTCACATAGCTTTGTAATATTAGGGTTGAACCACTGATATCACTTGGACGATGTCCTTCCTACGTTTCTGGGTCTGGGAAAGTTTCTTGTTCCCTTGCTGTCTACGGAGGGTCAGAGAGCTCTCGGATTTCATCAAAATGGAGGTCTTACGGGTTTGGAACGACATGAGGGTGAGTAATTAATGACAGAATTAAAATCTTTGGCTGAACTTAACTAACCTTTTAAGAGTGTACATGGTGATTTGAAGACACTGAACTCTTGGTTTCCTTCTGACTCCCGCAGCAGCCCGATGAAACATGAACTGGGGATTCCTGGAGAATGTGTTAAGCGGGGTAAACAAGTACTCGACTGTCGTCGGGCGGGTCTGGCTCTCCATCCTCTTCGTGTTTCGCATCCTGGTGTACGTCGCCGCCGCCGAGCAGGTGTGGAAGGACGAGTTCAAAGACTTCGTCTGCAACACACAGCAGCCGGGCTGCGAGCAGGTTTGCTTCGACCACTTCTTCCCCATCTCTCAAGTGCGGTTATGGGCCATTCAGCTGATCATGGTGTCCACCCCGTCGCTGCTGGTGGCTCTGCATGTGGCTTACAGGGAGCACAGAGAGAGCAAGTACAAGAGGAAGCTGTACCAGGATAAAGGCAGCATCGACGGAGGGCTGTTCTTCACCTACATCATGAGCCTCATCCTCAAGACGTCCTTCGAGGTGGCCACTCTGCTGGCTTTCTTCTTCCTGTACAGCGGCTTCCACGTTCCCCGCTTGCTCCGGTGCAACGAGAGCCCCTGTCCCAACACGGTGGACTGCTACATCGCAAAAGCCACAGAGAAGAAAATCTTCCTTTATATCATGGGCTGTACGTCTATCCTGTGCATTGCACTGAATGTGGTGGAGATGATGTATATCATATCGAAGCAGTGCTGGAAGTGCTTCAGTAAGAGGTACGCTCCAGTGCATGAAAGAAGCGGTCGGCCTCCATCCACGCTCACTCTCGGCTCACCGCCGTCGCTAGCCATGTCTAAAGACGAAGGCCTTCATTCTGCGCCGGCTGCAAAGGAAAGCCCAAAGCTTGCTGCTGCGTGAACACTTGGGCTTTTTCGTGCATGCTACACCAGTTCTTCTCCGCTGATGGCTCGTAGACAGCAAGGAATCACAAGAACAAATGCAAATAACAAACTAGTCACGTTGAGCTACGTTAGCATAACAAACAGAAGTATGAACTTTCAAAAGGGAAGAGCAAACACTTCTCATATCTTTTTGCTGTACTGTATTCAGGGCATAAATTCTTGCTATTTGAGTAGCATCTAGTCAAACTAGACGTCAGCATGCCCTCATACTCACAAACCATCAACAAAGACGACAAAATACAGCCCAGATGACATTAAATACAGGTTCGTTTGGAACGAGGGATAGTTTGTCGACCACAGTATGTCTTGTGTGGAGAACATTAAACTACTTACTATCATCAACTATTGAAACCAAACCTGTCAATTTTATTATTAAGACTGTTATGTCGATCATTTAGCATATTGTTGGGCCTGCGAAGTTTATGGTCATATTAATGTATTTATTTTTGTATGATAAATAATTGTGGTACTGTCCAATTACAGAACTAGATGAGACCCACTTTATATTGTCTTTAACTACTACGTACTTAAATTAATCATTTGATACAATGCACTTATTGTGTACATACAAGTTTTTATATCGTACTTGCATTTAAAAAATACCTTTCTGTAGATACATCTATAATTACACTGCAGACCCTTAACCCTAATCATACTCAATCATGGCCCTAACCCCTCAATAGCAGCTAAAGTGATTTGCAATACAATGAACGCAAGTACATTGTACCAAACTATTCATTACTTTAGCTGCAAGTACACAGTAGTTAAAACACCTAATATAAAGTGGAACCAACTGTACTTATGAGGACTGATTCTTTTACATGTCGAAAATAAACCTTGTCAGATAATCATGGTGGATCAGTGCGTTATTAAAAATTAAGTGGCTTGAGAACAGAAAGAAAAACTAAATGCCTCTACAACTTTAAAAGCACCTACCACTATGGACTGACATACACTATACGGACAAAAGTATTAGGACACCCCTTCTGAAGAGCAGGTTTGACTACTTTAGTAGTATTTCCATGAGTACAGATCTTAATGTTTAAGCATATAATTTATTCTAGGGAATTGTGTGCTTCTAATTTTATAGCAACAGTTCTGACAGGACCCTTTTCTATTCTAACATGACAATGCCTCTCTGTATAAGACAAGGTTCAAAAAGAAATGATTGAGTCAGTGTGGAAGAACTTGACCGGTCTGCTGGGACTTTAAATGCAGCCCTCGAGCCAAAAACTCTTCACCAAACACCAGTGACTTGTATATATAGGTACAGTCATTTTAGACGCTTCCAAAACTGTTGCAACAGAGATGGAAATACAACTTTTAAATACATGAATTATGTTTCCATCTTTGTTGCCAGTTTTAAAAGTGCCCTTTTCTTTTCTAAAGAAGGGGTGTCCCAATACGTTTGTCAATATAGCGTATATACAACTCTTTTTGTTTCCATGTATACATGGTATAATTGCTTTTTATACTGAGCTAATCATATGTTTGATCCCCTAAACATCCCTCACAGCGGTTTTATAATTTCAATAACCATGCAAGTAAGGATGAGACCAACACAGAGTAACAAAATGCAAGCTGTATTAAATTGGTTGCTATTGATTAACATGGAAATACAACTTTTAAATACATGAATTATGTTTCCATCTTTGTTGCCAGTTTTAAAAGTGCCCTTTTCTTTTCTAAAGAAGGGGTGTCCCAATACATTTGTCAATATAGCGTATACAACTCTTTTTGTTTCCATGTATACATGGTATAATTGCTTTTTATACTGAGCTAATCATATGTTTGATCCCCTAAACATCCCTCACAGCGGTTTTATAATTTCAATAACCATGCAAGTAAGGATGAGACCAACACAGAGTAACAAAATGCAAGCTGTATTAAATTGGTTGCTATTGATTAACATTGACAGGACCCTTTTCTATTCTAACATGACAATGCCTCTCTGTATAAGACAAGGTTCAAAAAGAAATGATTGAGTCAGTGTGGAAGAACTTGACCGGTCTGCTGGGACTTTAAATGCAGACCTCGAGCCAAAAACTCTTCACCAGACACCAGTGACTTGTATATATAGGTACAGTCATTTTAGACGCTTCCAAAACTGTTGCAACAGAGATGGAAATACAACTTTTAAATACATGAATTATGTTTCCATCTTTGTTGCCAGTTTTAAAAGTGCCCTTTTCTTTTCTAAAGAAGGGGTGTCCCAATACGTTTGTCAATATAGCGTATATACAACTCTTTTTGTTTCCATGTATACATGGTATAATTGCTTTTTATACTGAGCTAATCATATGTTTGATCCCCTAAACATCCCTCACAGCGGTTTTATAATTTCAATAACCATGCAAGTAAGGATGAGACCAACACAGAGTAACAAAATGCAAGCTGTATTAAATTGGTTGCTATTGATTAACATACAGACCGCTGGTGGCAGTGGTTGATCAAAGAGCCACACACACAACATTATTGACAAATTTCAGATTTACAAGGTAAACAGGACCAAAACAGTTTCTAATTATACACAGCACTACATAACATCAGAATTGATAATGATTCACTTTCAGCTGGATAGAAAAATGTCCAATGGAATATTAAAAATTACGAGTCTATCCAACACTCAAAAAGGAAAAAACAAAACTCCAAAGGCAACAGAAATGTGCTGAACAGCTTCATAAAGACACATGCTTTAGAGGTATTTCATCATCTACTGCAACTATAAAATGAGCTTAACATACACAGTTCTGTTAAGTAATAAACATCGCACTAGGGACCTTTAAGATAGTGGGGTGTGTAGTGTTTTCCGGATCATCAAACATCCCACTACTCCTTGACAAGCAACGATCATTCAGCATTCACCTTCAACTAGAGTTCAACTACCAGGTACAACTAACGATTGGGCACTGGTTTGCAGAAGGTTAGCCATTGACCTTATCCTGAGTTCAGACAACATGACACAAGGGTCTGGTACATTAATCCTCTTTTTGAAGGATCACCGTGGGTCGCATTTCATGAAGCTGCTTGAGAAGAAATTCATAGACACCCGAAAAAACCTTCTGCACCTCAAAGGTGACGTTGCTGAGCGAAGTCAACTTCTGGGGATTCTTAAATTCAACAAGTTGCAGGACTTCTCTCGAATGCAATTGGGCATCAGATCTTTTGCACACGACCGTCGCAGTCTTCAGGTGGAAAGCAGTCATTTTTTTGTGTGCATTTCCATTCAAGGGTACCGTAGCTTTCCTCTTCTGGGACGTGTTTGATTCCTGCAGAAACTGAAGAAAGGACACCTCAAATCCCATGGGCTTGAATGAACTCAGTGGTGTATTTTGACCAGAGGCATCTTCCTGTGCCATGGTAGTGCTGGAGGACGTGGAGTCAGAGTTCAAGTCCACGTAACTGACTGCAGAACTCCTTGTGTTTCTTAGTCTTGTCACCCTTTTAGGTCCGAAGGACTTGTCCGATACTCTCTCCCCCTTGCGTGGACGTCCTCTCCGTCTCTTAACTACCACAGATATCTCCGAGCACGTGTCTGTAGAAGGCTTTCCGTCAGACAGATCGGCATCCTCTGTGCTTTCTTTCTCAGAAGTAGGCTTGGAGAACTCGGACTCACTCTGGCCAGGCTCAGCGACTTCCTCATTCTCAGTCGTCTCGATGGAGCTCTCCGCTGAATTATCCGTGTCGTCGCTTCTGGAAGCGATGCGCTTGTATCTGGATCGGGGTAACTTTTTACAGTATATGAAGTTGCTCCTCTGTTCTTCCAGGTACTGTTTTGGGAGTCCATGCTGAAGATAATGTTTCATTATATTTCGCTCAGAACTGGTCACCGTTTCGCAACCCTTTATCATACAAGCATACTGCAGTTGCAAGCGTTTGGTGCACATGGCAGAAGCTTCTTCCTGCGTTTTCAAAATGGGTTTCCCATATTTGGTCCAGTTATTTTTGTTAGCTTTTCTCTTTTTAACAGCTTCCTTAACGGGTTTTTTGTTAGTTTCTCTGTTCTCTTTCTCGACAACGTCCGTTTCGTACTTCCTGGGACGACCGAGTTTAACCCCACTCTTGCCTTCCCGTGGGTTCATGAGCAGCCGTTTGTACACGTCTTGGTGTTTCTT